CGTACATGTTTGAGCCCTTGCCTCGCAACGCTGCCAGTTCTGTTAGCTCTACGCCTGCTGAAGACACAGACGTCCATCCCCCTGAACACTGGGACGGAACTCAATGGGAAAGGATATTATTCTTATTTCTTATTTTAACCGTTGCGTATATTAGCTGCGACGTATGAATCAAGATGCTATGACCGAAAAAACTTGATTGATAGATGACCCTTGATGTATGATTGGCTGAATTTAGGTATACAAGCTGATGTATAAGTACCTGGCCTGCATACGATAACGAAAAAACCCTCACCGATTTTAAGACAGGATTTTGGGACAATATCGTCTGATAAAGAGTACATTTATATACATGTTTAAGCCAGAATGATTTGACATTAAAAATGACTTCCCTACGACTTTAAATTTTTGTTTTCATTGTGTTGCAAGCAAACACATTTTTATATATGGAAATTTAAAAGATGCAAAATTTAAAAAGCTTATTGATAAAAAAGATTTGAAAGTAACTTTGTTGTTTTATCAGATTTTACAGTTTAAAAATAATGTAGTTCATAAAATAATATCTCAACCAGAGATTTTTTTTTTGTGAAACAAAATATACAAAAAAACAAAATTTGACATCTGATAAAAAGCGGCAGTCACTCTCAAAATCTTTTTTTTTTAATTAAGAGGTTTTTCAAAGTTTAATTTCTTTATCACATTTCTTTTAAATTTCCATTTACAAGACATGTTATTGGCAACAAATTGCGTCCTTCAGCTGTAACCGTATCAACAGATAATTAGAGGCTGCTGCTTTAGTAGTGTTGCCCAAGCTAGCTGAGCTAATCGCTAATGAAGAACGCAAGGATGGATGAAAATATTAAACATGTAGAAAAAAACCTTCGTTCAGACCGACTCGCCTCTCTCTCATATAGTGTAACTTTCCCTCTTTTCCTTTAATAAACAGCTGTCTGCTAATTTCAAGGAGGCTTGATAAGAGAGTTTTGAATGGTGTTATTAATTTCTGATATGATCATTCTGCAAAGAAAAATGTCAGTAGAACTGAAATCAGTAGCAAAAGGTCAAAGCTTTTGAAAAAGCCATATTAATGTTTATACTCCATTCCCATTGGCTATTAATGGTATAAAAAGGTGCCATCGGGCTGCAGGATATTAGCAAAATGTGATTGTGTTATTATGGTTGAATTCTGACACAATATTAATTTTGATTGAGGTCAACTGGCTAAATATGTAACTAGTTTACTGATTGAATGCATGGGCAAAAAACTGATTCCACAGATTTCAGCCATGAAGTACAGTAGCACTGGAAATGAAAAGAAGAAGCATCAAAAAGCCTAGAAATGTGGTGTTGATGGGTTGCAAGCAGGCAGATGATTTTGCACAGGTGCAAGGCTAACCACAGGCCCAATGGTCCTACATGCTGATTGTCTGGATAACCATTGGCAGGAGCTGGTTAGTTAGCTTGCTGTTTCTTACTGGTGACTCTCCTCGAACCGGGTCCTTCTTGTTCACCATGAGCTCTCCTTTGCGGACAGAGCGCTCCAGGTCAATGGTGTTCCACACCTTCAGCTTCATCGGGGTCCTACTCCTGAATCAAACACAGACGCACATTATGTTACATAAGCACAATCATTATGGTCCAAACCTCCAAGTGCTTCAGATGTCTTTCTCTAAACCGACTGAACCTGATAACAGCAGGTCCCTTTCCAAGATCGTAGCGAAACTCCAGGAAGCCTTGTTTCAGGGACAGAGAGATGAAGTCCCCATTTCCATCAGACTTCTGCCCGTTGTAGAAGATCAGACCATTGGAGTCATTGGCCATAAGAACCAACGTCATGCTGAATTTTTGACTGCAAGATACAAACACCGCCTTGTGAACAAAACCTGCAGTGTTATCAGAGACTAAGGAAGGCTAGTTGTGCAATCTTCATTATGTATTCGGCTCAGCCTTAAAGAAGCATGAGCTCTCTCTCTGCCTTAGGATCTATGAGAACTACATGATGTTCAGTGTTATTAGTGATATTCATCTAATGCTTTGCAGATTTCCCGCTGAGACAAGGGACTTACCGTAGACTGTGCCCGTAGAGATGAAGCCCCTTCAGCTCTAGGTAGGAGTCTCCGTTGAACAGAGGCATGTAAGCCCCTCTCGTCTCAGCCACTGGAAAATAAAATAAAAAAAAAGCAAGTAGATTCAAACCCAAGTTCTTCTTTTCCGGCTGAATTAAAATTCATAGATAGTGGGTATATATTGGAGTGGGGCTTGTCAGGGATGGATTTGTGTGTGTGAGTGTAGCCTCTGGGATTAAGATTTTCTCCCTGCAGAAATTCAAACAAAAAAACGAAACAAAAATCCAGAAATACTCATGCCAGACTGATTACACAGCACGCCACTGGATGACAAAGAACCGTCGGAGACACAGAGGGTTTAACACACGTCTGGGACCTTGAAAATAATGAAGCCATTGTGTTCTGGCAGGCCCTTTTTTGCAAATTCATGTCTTTGCGACGTGCCTCCGCCTAGCTGTCGGGAGTCATTAGAATGGGCACCGAGCCATCTTCTAACAAGTGGTTGACATTAAAAATCCTTCAAGTGTCACCTGGAGGGGGTATGGGTTGATGGTGCAAAGACTTGCATCGTTCAGGGCCACGTGGTTTCCTAAACACTCGCATAAACACCCAAGTTAGGCCAGATACCTTTCTGCAGCTGGCAAGGCAGCTTTTATTTGTAATTGGCTGGGATTAGCTGAGCTGAGTCAAGCTGGAGGAGGAAGACAGAGATGAGAAAGCTAATTAGCTATTGTGCAGGAGACTGCTAATGATGATGGCACAGAACACGGAAATGAGGGGAAAAATAGGAACACAGTAAATTCTCTGCTAAAGTAAACTCCACTGGAGCACGAAAAGAGGCTGAAAATTTACTTTCTCTAGGCGCAGCGTGAGTGTGTGGGTGGTTTTCTCTCTTTTTCACCCATTCGCTCGGCCTGATACGAGGATCAATAAGACACAAGAGGTCAGGCGGTGTCAGAAAACACATATAGGCACCGAGCCTAAAAAGAAGAAAAACAAACTTGGCCAAGCTGAACTTTTTATATGCAATATTAAACTATGATTTCAGATTAATGAGCAAAAAATAAAAAAAGTAAAAAAATTCCAATTTCACAGAGGTCAATGTTTATTCTCCAGGGCACTCCTATTTATATTCCAGGAAGGCTACATCCTTAGTAATTGCAATAGACCCAATAAACCAAGTGAGGTGTTTACAAAGCCATACCATCTCCCATTTTTTTTTTGCCCATTATAGTTAATGTTGGATCTCGTATTTTTTTTCCCACTAACAAACACACTGACAATAAAAACACATATGGTTAGTAAATCATGGATTTCCACTGCAGGAGAGAGAGAAAGATAGAAATATAGATATAGATATATCCATAGATTTATATATACACCTTTAAATCAACAAAACCCGGATCAGGTTTTTTTTACTTTCAAACCTTAATAAAGCTTATAGTTAGGCTCAGGTTACCTGGAGCTATCTCTATAGTTATGATGCTATAGGCTTAGACTGCTGGAGGACATAGGGACCCCATTTTTATTATTCTGCTTTACTCTACCTCTACTCTCCCATTCTGCAGTATTTGTTATTTTATGCTCTCTCTGCTTTTTCTCATCGTCTTCACTCTTAGGCTGTGATTTTTATGCCTGAGAGAAATATCAGCTGTGCTGCTCCCATTACAATTTTTTTAAATAAAAGTTGGAGCTTTGCCTGTTTTTTAAGAGTAGTCCTGTTTCTCTGACTGTGACTAACTTTATGTCCTCTCTTATCCTCTGACATGGGAGCTGGCTCAGAGCTCGTCTGCCTGGCTTTGTCTTTCCTTAGCAGTATCAAAGTTATCTTTGGGGTCAATATTACTTTCTGTATGTCTGCTTCTGTCTCCTTGAACCCCAGTCGGCCTCGGCAGATGGCCGCTCACACTGAGCCTGGTTTTAATGGAGGTGTCTTCCTGTTAACCTCTTAAAACCCACCGGGTAGCGGTTTATAATAACCAGCAGGTGGAGCCATTGCACGTAGCTCCAAGCTGACAACAAAAGTTCCAAACCCCACAGCTCTGGAACTGTTATAGCTAGAGGTCTGAATTTTCTGCATTTGTGGTTGACATGATGTAGAACAAATATAATACAATAAAACCTTCCTTTTCTCAAGAATGTCTTTATTACTGCTGTTAAAAAAAGACCTATCATTTCCGAGAATGAAAAACAACAACTTTGAGTCATGTTTGAACTGATACAGGATGGTCTGTGTTTAAGTCACCCAATTTGAATTTATATATTAGTAAACTAGAGGTATCTTTCAAATAATGTATTGCACATGTAATTTGGGTTTACAGTTCCTAAGTTATTTGCTTTTCCATTTGGGTATGCAAAATAGGTGAGGATTACGCAAAATGAGGTAGATGTTAAGAGGTGAAAGGGGAGTTTTTCCTCTCCACCTTCGCTACAAGCATGTTTGAACCAATCTGACTGTATGATCTGGTTGAATTATCTCTGTAAGGTGCCTTGAGATGATGTGTTATGAATTGGTGCTATATAAATAAATTTAATTTAATAGAAATTACAAGTATGGTCCAGAAAAAATGTCGAAAGGTTTGGGTTAAGGTCTTTTCCACTTTTCCACACCTACTGTCTCACACTCATTTTGCAATGACTCGACACAAATACATCAGACTGCTGAAGATTTTTCCCAATTGTAGATCTTGCTCCAAATCTGGAAAATAAATGTGGGGTGTCTTTCCAGCTTTAGTTGTTTTATTAAGATATTTCCACATTTTGGAAAAGGACATTTCTAAAGATTTCATTTTTCGTTAATTTAAAATTGTCGATATGATTTATAGCAACTATTTCAACAATGACTATGTTTTGTCTCTGAAAATGTAATCTCTCTTTTCCAATCTTCATGCTCTGCTTCCAGGTGTTTTAAAGTTCAAATTTTTTTCAGATATCTGGGGAGAATGCTGATGTATGGATCAAACATTTTACTTTAAAACTTTTAAAATACAACGGTAGACACTTTTAAAAGGAAGTTAATTAAAAACGGGAAAATGAAGACAAAAAAAACAACAAGGGCATGGAAGCCCTAACAACAGACCTCACATCAGTAATCTAACGTGGCGTCAACAGGGGATAGAGAGTGTGGAATTTTTTATTTTTTTTTTTTTATGGTTGGAAAGGAAATTAAATTCATGATAAATAATGATCAGTAACATAAAAGCAAAATAGCAAAAAATGAGAAACTGTGTCTGAGGCTCACAGATGACTCTGACTCACAGCCTAAAAGGTGTTCATTTCTGCAGTAGGAACCAGCTGCCAGCTTGCTTGGAGCGCGCTGAGATTCGCATGCAGACACAACATGGTCCCTGATTGGTGGTGAAGATGTAGCAACTGGAAACCCCTGTTGGAGCCAAAACTCCCCCTGGAGTGTGTTTTTCTAAGTGATCTCGCTTTCATCGGTAAATTATAATGATCCACATTATCACAGGGTGAAAGCAGCGAGGAAAGCAGGTGATTCAGTCCTACTGGAAACCCCTTGAGAAAAATCCTTGACGGCGAATGTATCAAGAGGCGAGCTGAACTGACGAACCCCGGCTGGATTAGAGCGGAAACCTCATCTTACAAACACATACTTCACTTTATGGGCATGTTCACCTTCAGGCCTGTGATGATGCTCTAAGCTACCTGTCTTTTTAACCGTTAAGAGTGTGGCTCTGAGAGGGACGTGCGCCTGACTGCCTTCTTATCTGGGAGCTCCTGTCTGCCACTGACACTCCAGCTGACTGATGCCGCCATTAATCACTGTGATGCGATTAGTCATCTCATTGATTCCTTTGTAAAAATAGCCTTTTGGAACGGGAGAGGCTCGAGCTCACGCAGCATTGATTTTGGTTCACCTCAATTTATTTTAATCATCGCCTAACTGAGAGAGGAGAAGATGGAGGCTACTCCCGTCTGTTTTCTTTTTTTTTGATTTCACATGTATGTGTGTATTCTCTTTTGTTTTGGAGAATGCACGGCATGATATTCTCCTTAATTTGCAGCATTTGGGATAGAAAAAAGGCAAGGGAGGGAAGAACATAAGTAGAATTCACAATGTGACACCGCCAAAACTTCTAATGATGAACTTCAAAGGCATCCGAGCTGCGCTATGGTCTTTTACCCACCAGCGGCCCGGTTCTGCCGTGTGAAACTAAGCAGCAACAAACAAGTCGGAGCACAACACCTGTGGGTGGAGAGGCAGAGAATGTTTCTGCTTCCTCACTAACAAGCATACCCGAGTCGATGTGGTGAACGGCCCAATGGGGCCAATCATCTGCCACAGCTTTGCAAGGCGTCAATCCCCCCCCCATGTCCTCTATACTGCCGGGTTTGCACGTTTCATGCTTTCATTTCATGAAAGATGGATGGAAGTGTCAGAAAAAATATGCAGATACTCAGGACAGGGGTGGAAATCAGATAGGTGGGTAATAAACTTACCTTTGTCACAGTGCTTTCCCTCACGTCCCATGGGACACTCGCATTTATAGCCTCCCGCTGGGAGCGCCTTGCACTTGGAGGAACTGTGGCACTTGCTGTCTTTGCAGGGGTCATGGACGTCAGCACACGTTGGACCTAAACGAAAAGAAAACGGTGAATGTTCAACTTTTGTGGCATTCACATTAGCAAATACTTTGTAAAAAACACCTTTAAATTCAATAGATTTGGTTTAATTTTACTTTTGGAAAAAAAAACGAAAAAAAGAGTCGAACCTCAGTCAGATTCTTATGAACAGCATGAAGAAACATATCCTGAAATGCTGCCAACACAGTGTAAACATCTTCATCTATTTGGCCTTCTTCTTTTTGTAGTGCGGGGCCAGTAATGGTCTCCGACCTGATCTTTGGAGCTACAGTAGTTACCATAATCCCCAAAATCAGGTCTAAAAGGTCTATGGCCTTTTATCCCTTTCTGTAAGCAGGTGGATGGTCTTATCTTGGTAGATTTGCGGTAGTGTCTTTTACTTTCAGAGGATGTTTTGGGCAGAAATCTGGCAGCTTCCTGTATTGATTCATTACCTAATGACTGCTTTACCGTGTTCAATCTAGAAGGGTTCTGAATAAATGAGGTTAAACACCATGAAACGACTACCTTGACTGAAGCAAATTTGGAATGAATCAGTTAAAGCATATTTTATCCACCATGGTTATAGGGCACCATTGTCCCCGCTTGACCTGTAAGTTTTGACACAAGGTAACCAAACTTCTCATTTTTCTCCCATTTAAAGGGAATCTGGTCAAAAAAAGTGTGCTTTTAATGATCTGTGCCCATAGAAGTTTGTAAAGCAAACTGTGCTTAAAGCATTGAGGTTATAATTGGAACCAGCACTTCTCTAACCTTCTTTACATAGAGATACCTGATATCTGAAAAATAAATTTCATTGGTTGCTGGTAAGGTATGACACTCTAGTTTCCAAGGATAGCAGCCACGAGGTGCGGAGCAACAACGTATCCGTTGTGAAGCATTTTTTCCCAAAGATGTGCCATGTTTGAAGGATCTTAAAAAGCATCTTCTGTCTGCGAAACATTTTTTGTGAAATAAAACAACAACAAACATTTTCAGGAATTGTTTTAGATGCATTTAGGTCTTGTTCAATGGCTTTAGGAAAAACACTTGAACAATGTTTGACTTCTTTGAAAGAAGAATGAGTAGGCATCTCGCCCCTTGTTTGGACTACTGTATTTTTCGGACTATAAGTCACACTTTTTTGGTGTTTGGCTAGCCATACGACTTAGACTCTGGTGCGACATATATACGTTTTATTTTTTTTCACCACAAGAGGGCGCTATGTAGCTTTGCACACAACAACGTATTCTATTAATACCACTGAAAGAAAAAAAACCTTACCAGTTACTACAAAAAAACAAATTATAGTGGTCTGAATGACGTTAAATGTTTTTATCTGGTATCGGACAGGCGCACTTTCTGCCTGTTTTTTTTTTTTTTTTTTTTTTTGTTGTTTATTTCTTCTTCACCGTTTTTACTACCATACCTGTCTTTGGAGATTATTTTATTTGATGAAATATTTTTATTTTGTTTGATGAAACAAAATCAAACAAAAATGTCGAAGGACAATCCTCGATGGTGACTGCAGTTTTATTGACAAAACGCCACGGGCGATAAGCCCTACCGGTAAAATGCTCTAAAAGGAAACTAATTTAAAGTGTAAATTAGGCTGTAAAATAGGCCTGTAGACTACAGTAGGCCTTTGACATGTACGCCTATAATGGTAGTAACAGTATTAATGATAGTAGTGGTGATATTTAAAACAACCAGAGAAGGTGACAGGGCAATTGGCGCGTTATCACTGCATCTAAAATGCTTGTTCAGGAAATAAAACAATGCGTTCTTCGAGCAGTAGCCTACCACGTGCCAGTTATCAGAACACGCATTCCATGGATAGAATAACCTTGAATAGAATAACCTTTAAAAAGGTGCGACTTGAAAAGGTAATAACAATGTAATTAGTAAAATATATAACCTGTTTCTGTCTATGAACGGGCATGATTCCACAAACATAAAGCTGAAATGGGAAACTGCAGGAGTCAATAGCAG